AAAAAAAAAAGAAAAAGAAAATTCAGAACAAATGTAATATTGGTTCTACTGGAGTTAAACATACTGAACTAATAGTTTTTGTTTTTGAGTACAATAGAATGTTTATGCAAAAGTAATAATATCAATAATAATCAGTAACTATATATCTTTGGCATATTAAGTACTTTTCATTAATTTTTTTTTTCATTTGAACTTCAAAAAATCCTGAGAAGCAGCTAAATACACCTTTTAAATTATTCATGGTATTTGGGAGAGATACGTGTCCAATTGTAAAACTGGAGAGATCATCCAGAATTGAATGGAAGAGATCATGTCTTCATTGTGAACTGATTTAGAGTGACCCTAGGTTTCACCAGAAGTAAAGAAATCAAAACAGACTGCAGAGTTTTATAGAGAAAGGAAGCATCCTTTCTCTTCTTCAACCTCCATATAGAGAGGGCTTTGAGGCAGCAGTGGAGGATAGGTGAGGCAGGGGCCAGGCAAAGCTGTGTCTGGTGGAAAAGTGGGAAGGTAGGAAGGTGAAGGTATGGTTGAAAATTTTAAGAAGACTATATATGGATCAGATAAGAGGTAGGATTAGGCATAGAGACATATGTTCTGGGAGTCATTTTGGTACAAAAAAAAAAAATGAGCTACTAAAAAGAAAACGGCAGTGGAAATGGAGGGAAGGAAATTTGTCTGACAAATTTTATGAGAATCAATAAAACTTCTTGGTCAAAATTAAGGTAAGAATTTATTTAGGCCAATTTGGCTAATGTGTGTATCTGGTAGGTGGTTGTATGCACTTATTTTATAAGTCTTCTGCCATATTCATTATGGTTTCTCATATAACTTCACATAAACTAAATACCTCAGAATAGCATAGTTATAAAGAAAAGGTTACACAGTTTGTTTTCTCTTGTAGTCACTTTTGTAACTGATTAACTGAATGTTTCCTTTTTTGTGTCACTTAAGGGATAAAGGGAATAGTCATGCCTCAACAAAAGAACAGAACATTGGTTATGTTAAATAAACATTTTCCACTATCTCACATCATAAAGTTTGAATTCTAAAATCCAATTAATTAGCTGGTGTACAGAAAATCTCCTGATAGCAAATTTTAGGCTATGTATTTCACTGCTCCTTTCCTTTTTTGCCTACCTTTAAAGCAAAGTTATATTAATAACACAAAGATGCCACTATTTTTAGAAATCACTTTAACAGAGGCATGATTTATTTTCCCAAAGTGTTAAAACATATTCCTGTATTTAAAGATTCCACTAAAATTGCAAATGAAGAAAAGGGCAATACAGAGCAAAACATAGATGATTACTTACGAACTGGCAATGTTTGGAAGATTTCTATTTTACTGTAGTCTCCTTGCCCTTTTCCATTTACAGCTGCAACCCTGATTTCATAAGTTGTATTTGGTTCCAGGTTGCTCAAAACAACCATTGCTGAAAGAAAAAAAGAAAAATATATATATAAATATATGAATATATACCTAGGTTTAATGTGTTTCAATAAGGAAAACAGATTAGCTTGTTACAATGTTGAATATATAATTTCACTGTGAATATTTCTGTGAACTACCTGAAAAAAAAAGGATGGTCACATTAGAAAATAATAATCTATAAAATTTTCCTCTTCACTTCTATTTTAGCCTTCTGATCCCAAATAATAACATTCAAAGAAAAAAAAAAAACATTTAAGTTCCTTTTTGCGATACATATTCTTAGATAATATAAAATAAAATATATTCTCTCATTTTTATATTGTCCAAGAAATGGGAATGTTGTAAATAAATAATCTTTTCTGTATGTATCCCATAAGAGATGGAAAGTAGGATTAGGATTCCAAGTCAATTATTTCTATAGAATTTAATAGAGACATGCAATTCAACATATAGAGTCCTGGCCACTGATATGAGGTGCTTCCATTATGTTAAAGAAGTATCACAAAATCAAATACACAGTAAAAGTGGATCATTTATTTTAGAATCTCAAATGAAATCAAACTACTTTTAATACTAGTTTAAAGTATTCTTTCCTCATTCTCACAGTATCTTTCCTCTGAATTTCTTCTCAAAACAGAATAGTTATGAGAAAAAAAAGTTATAGTGATTTTTTCCCTGCAGTCAGAAACAAAATGTATGTGCCCAAATGTATGAAGAAAAATAAAACTGGAAAGGTTATGGGTCAAATGGAAGAGATCATGTTTTTATTGCAACAGATTAATATATATATGTTAAACTACCCTACCAGTCCTGGATTCAACATGACAAAAAGGAAGAACCTGAAAAGATACAATGAAGTAAAGGTGATTTGATAATGTTGAATGCAAGTGTGGATTTCAAAATATTATACCTTCATAAGTTCTCTGATGAAATTTATAAACTTACATAGATGTCTTTATCTTTAGTCTCTTTGGATAAAAAGCAATAATTTTATGAGTATAAATGGACATGTCTCAATGACAATCAAAAAGAAATCATGTCTGCTTTACATAATAGAAACAAGTCAAATGATCAATTCATAATAGAAGATATAATCAATCACAAAATAAAATATAGAATTATATAAGTAATCAGAACCATATTTTCAATGCTATTGAGTTTTTAAACTGTGGGTGAAAAATGATTGACATTTAACAAAATACCAAAGTAATAATACATTTTTCAGATGATTACATTGTCATATATATTCACTAGATGACATTTTCCACAATGTCTGAGGAGACTTAATAAATTTGTTTTGGTACTTCTGTTCAGTTCTTTCCCCAAATATTCCTTATCATTGTGTCTGTTTAGTTTTTCATATTGGCAATTACTACATCTTCACTGAATTATTCATTAAGCTCTATAAAAGAAAAATAATTTGTTGAATGTACTGTAGAGATCTTTTCTTCACCTAAAATACAAAATTAAATATGTAAATTATGGAACTCCAGATAAATATTACTTAAGAGTGGAGTCTATATATCAACCAGAACTGATTTTTAATTCTTAATTTGTTTTATTGAAACAATATGCATATTTTAGGGGCACCATATTTTATTTCGACACATATATACACTGTTTAATATTCAATAAAGAAAACCATGTTTATATCCTCAAATACTTACCATTAATTTGTGGTGAAAATATTTCAAATAGTTTCTTCTAATTTTAACCAGATTTTATGTAATCACATAGAGATGTTTTAAAATTGGCAGAAAGAATAAATTTCCAACTGAAAAATTCAGGTCTGTATATCTCTATTTCTTTAACTTACCAGGAAATTAAAATTGCTCTTAAGAGAGTGAATCACCTGTTAAGCCTCAGATTATAACACAAAATGTCATATTGAAGGGAAAGAAATTAGGGAAAACTGATTGGCACAGACGTTTGATTGGTGGGAAGCTGAACGGATAAATGGGAAAATAATGGCTTGAACACAATGATTCCTATTAGACTTTTCAGGAAAGCCAAATCCAGTTCATGATCAGGAATCAATTTATATATAATATGAGCTCCAAAAAAAAAAATGTAGTTACAATGTAGAGAAGATGATTGCTTGCATGAATCTTGTTATGTAGATTATGGAAAACAAGAAAGAATCTAAATTAGATTTGTATCTTAAATGCTAAGAAGTTGTAATTCTGACATTATTGGGAAAGCTTCTACTCAAAGCCAGCATAACCAAGAATTCACAAGTAACAGTGCTATCCCACTCCTCCGTTTATACCCCAAAGACTTTAAATCGGCATATGACAGTGATACAGCCCTATCAATGCTTATAGCAGCTCAACTCACAATAGCTACACTATGGAGCCAAATAGGTGTCCTTCAACAGGTGAATGGATAAAGAAAATATGGTATATATACACACAGTGAAATATCAGTCAGCCATAAAGAAGGATAAAATATAGTATTTGCAGGTAAATGGATGGGGCTCAACAATATCATGCTAAGTAAAATAAGACAATCCCCCCCAAACCAAAGGCTGAATGTTTTCTCTGATATACAGATGCTAATTCACAATGGGGCCAGGGCTAGGGAAGAATAGAGATACTTTGGATTTGACAGAGAGGAGTGAAAGAAGGGGAGGAATATAGGGGTAGGAAGGATAGTAGAATGAACTGGACATTATTACCTTATGTGCACATGTGACTACACAATCGGTGTAATTCCACATCATGTACAAACAGAAGAATGAGAAGTTATACTTCATTTGTGTATGTGTCGAAATGCATTCTATTGTCGTGAATAACTAATTAGAAAACATTTTTTAAAAAGTTAATCTTATTTTGTCAATTTAATTGGTAATAAGCATAAGTAAAATTAAAAGCAAGGGGAATAACATCTGCTGTTCTTCAAAGACAGATTTTATAAGAATGTGTTTATTCTTCAAGGCATAAAGCAAAAATTATTCTTGTGGATAAACAGTCTGACATCATGGTGCTGTCAGTATTCGATGATACACTTCTTTCCCCCAGGGAAGCATGACTTGATGTAGCATGGGCACATTAGGTGAGAAGACTGCAGGATCTCTGACTGCAATGACTTCTGAAGTAAGACACAGCAGTATGATGCATGACTTCTAAAAGAAGTCATGGAGCTTTGGGCCTGGTCTCATCATTGACTGGATCCAAGCAAGTCTTATAGCCAAGTTGGCCTATCAATTTTTAAATAGACTTTCATATTAAATGTCATGAACAAAGGCATAAAACCAAATTTTAAAAAGATAGATAAAATGATTTATAGTTGGTAGAAAAACCACCACCATGCATCCTTTACCTATGAAAATGGGAATATTATCTGCTGTCTGTGAGATAATACAAAATCATATGTAGCTCCAAAGTGATTCATGTTTTTACTATATGTCTGATGACTAAAAACTATGTATAACTGCTAGATATGCTTCTAGTAATATTCACTTAAAATATTAATCACCATTTACATGGATAATCTACAGAGTATTAGAGTATTTGCTACATAAGAATATATGAGAGTTTACTGTTGCTAACAACATCGATATTTCATGTTTCTCCAGATTTCTGTAATGTACAGTTGTAGCTGTGATCATCATTGTAAAGCCATGCAGTATATTGTTTCATAGCTACATCAATCAGGGCAATCGGAAATGTTCATACTCAGTGATTCATCCTGAAAGCAATTCAACTAGAAAACAACAGAATTTGAAGCACACAATTTTAATTGCAAACAAAATTCCTCATAAATCAGAAGTATGGAGATCACATACTAGGTGTAGGCTAAAAATAGAAAATAACAGATCCATTAAAGTATCAGAACATATTTAATCACAGGAAAATCAAGTTTGTACCTCCTTTAACAATAATAACACCCACCCCTCAATTTTTTTTTCACATTTTACTTGAGTTATCTGCTTATTACAGGCATTCTCCTTTTTCAAACATTTCATAGGGGCTATGACAAGTCTAGAGTGTCCCATGAGGGCTTCCAAGGGAAACTACTTTTTTATTTACATTATGATCAGATCAGAGTGAATTTGATTGTTTCCTCACCTTCTATTCTCCATATCAAGGTTTCCCTGTTACTAAGTTTCACAGCAAAGTAATTGGCAGGGGAGAGGAGCAAAGAGGGTAAAAATAAAGGTTAACCTGTTATAACAGTGGGCTAAAACACTTAACCTTAAGCTGAATGAGGGGAAGGCGTATAGATGATCTTCAAAATTATAGGGAAAAGGTTTGAAAGTAAACCTCTTGATGCAAGTTTTACAAAGATCATGTACAAGACGTCAGTTCGGTGTTGAGTTCTGAATTTAAAGGTTTTGGTATAATAGCCCTTATATGAGGCTTATTAACATTCTGTGAAAATAAAGATCATTGTATGAAATAGAAAGAACACCATAAATGGACTAAATTAAAGAGAAGACAGGAAAAAATTCCAGGGAGGCCAACCTGGAACTGTAATTTGCTTTGACTTCCTTAAATAAGAGGATATATACATAAATCATCCATAATTTACTGGCATATTACCAAACACAGGGTTTCTGAACATGTTCAAGCTAGGGCTTGAAAGCAAACCACCACTTGAAATACAAAAGGCTGTGTACTCTATAATAGAATCTTGCCTCAAATTACCAAGCTTGTTAATGGAACACATTTTTTCCCTTAAATGTGACCATACAATAGAACAATGGAACTATAAACTGAGGTGTAGGGTGGGTACTTTCCCTATAATTTATTAGAAATTCAAACTAAGAATTTAGGTGGAAGTAGAACTAGATTATAAAATAGTAAAAGTTCTGTATGGTCAAATTTTGTAAATTAATACACATTATAGCTATATTAAGCTAGCATGATTTAGAAATCATAGTGCAATTCTTCTGAAATTTATAAACAGTCAACTAGATTTCATTGTTATGGCACAGGGATGAACTCTACAAAGCAGCTGGTTTTCCTAATTAATTTAATGTTTTTCTTTGATTTAAAT